TGGCAGCGCGGGGCGATGGTGGCAGTAAAGGTCACAGTCCCAACAGCCCAGATTCGGTCGAGAGACGGCTCGTTTGCTGCTAGATCCTCTTCTCAAAGAGGATCGCCGTGCTGGCTCTGGAGCGGCCATTAGCCCGGGCGGTGCCCAGCCATAGGAGATCCGCGGGCGGAGCAGCTCCAGCCCAGGGCGGACAACGCTGCAGACCCCGAGTTTCTGCCCCCATCCACCCCCCCTTTCAGAGGCCTCCCGGGGAGCTGATTACATTGACTTGGCCCTGAGATCTCTGGGCCATTTGGCGGCCCAGTTGGAGCATCCCTCGGGGTGGCAGATGATTTTCCCGTCGGAGGTTTCACACCGAGAACAAAGCTGGCACCGAGCTAAGGAGCCTGCCCGGGAGAACTCCTGAATTGAATTGAGATTCACGCTGTGTGGGTGCCTTGGGGCCAGACCTGAAGGTTGCATAGTGGTGGCCCCCAAGAGGCTTCTTTAGAATGCGCGGCTTAAATAGAAACTTTGCAGACGCTTGCTTGCACGCATCGAACCGCCTCCTGCCAAGGGCGCGATTAGAAATACCCATAACGAGCGCAACTTGGTATTTCCATGGAATGTCAGACGGCCAACCTGTCCCACTTTCCCGATTTACAGACGACCGAGCCAAGGTCTGAGAAGGGGCCTTGGCACTCGGCTGAGAGGGAAAGGGAAGTAGCAGCCACTAGTTCAAAGTGCAGACGACCTCTGGTCTGGTGTTACTTCAGGAAGGGACGGGATGGGGTTTGGATTGAGCTGGCGCTTGTGGGGAAGGGGAAGCCCAGACCTGGGAAACAAAGTTAACATTTATCGACTACCTACTAAGTGCCAAATCCTTTTGCATTTGCTCTCACTTTGAAGAGTAAAGCCTGTCTTTCCCAGATTTCCAGTCTTGAGCTGGCTGGGTGAAGAGTCCAGGCTTTGAAGAGCTTTTAAATTATCCTCAGGCTCTGGGTGGCCAGGGAAGGTCCCCAGGGGGGTCCCGTCAAATACACATCCCAGGTAAACTGATTAACCATGGAAGTGGCGCCGGGTCTGGTCTCTAGCTCTCAGAGTCCTCCCTCCCTTCACAGGGGAGCCAGACGGCACCCCCAGGGAAGGAGGCGAAGCCGAGCTTTGCGCCGACCTTTGAGAGATAGCACTGTGCGGTGGCATCTCCATACAATGGCGGCTGGAGTGGTAGCTCTGGGGGTGGGGCGCCCTGGGCCTGCATTCTTGAAATCTGTGTTTTCTCTAGAATTCTCTCTAGGACTCTAACTTAAGGAGAGATGCTCCCCATAGTTCCATTTCTTTTAACTTGGGGGCAAGAAGGACTTTGGTAACCCTTATCATTCTGGAGTGAGAATTTGGTGTTTGGTTAAGAAAAAGAGTGATCTTCGAAATCTAAACATGAAGGATGATTTCTGGCCACTAGAGGTACAACCGCAGCAGTGTAAAAACCAAAAACCTGATCATGTGTGCATGCGCACAGTGAGTATTTTAGTTTTAAAATGTGGCCCAGCCATCCGGTGGGTGCGGAAGGAAGGAATGCTTCCCAAAGCACGATTCCTGCATAGGGCAAGCTGACCTCCAAGGAGCAGCTCCTTGCCAAGAGCTGTCGCCAAACTGCCCTGGGCTCTGTTGCCAATCTGCCCTGGACTCTGTTGCATAGGCTCATGCATTCCCACCCAGAGACTGCCTTGTGGTGTGCCTCATGGTTGGGTTTTCTCTTCCACATATAGCCAAGAGTCTTAAATGGCCAAGCCATGAGAGGCGCCATGTGCATCTCTGTGAGAGATCTAAAGGCACGTTGAGTCGTGGCCTTCAGATCTGCGGCATGCTCTGGGTGGCATTTACACAAAAGCAACTTGAGTTGAAAGCAGTGTAAGCAACTTAAGTGGAAAGCATTGTAGGGAATGAGCTTTTGGTTTGTTCCTGCCAGCACGTGGGCCCTCCCGTAAAAGTAAAGGCCCTAAAGACCAGCACTGACCCTAGCCAGCACTGAGCGATGGGAGGATGATGAGAACCGATTCCATACGTGTGGAGAGCTGGCTGTGGGGGGTTAACCCAAGCCCTCAGGTGGCCACTCACTGTGGTGGTGTGAGCACAGGCATGCGACATCTGGCAAACTTCAACTCAGTTCCAGGTGGCCCGTGTCATCTTGGACAAGTTACTTAGCTTTCAGTCTCACTTCTTTTTCATAAAATGAGATTATCATAACTACTTTTAGTGTTGTCTTAAATTAGGAAAATAAGGTAATATTTGTGAAGTATTTGACATTGATCCTTCATAAATAATGGCTACTTTATTAGACAGTCACTCGCTGTCATATAAAGTGACAAAATTTTCTGTTTGCCCAGGACTGAGGGGTTTCCCAGACTTGTAATCCTTAATGTTAAACCGGGGACAGTCCCCAATGAACAAGGAGGTTTGGTCATCCTAAACAGACATAAAAATGAGTGAATGACCCATCATCATAGTGTGTTAATAAACTGAGAGATTAAAGGAGAGAAAGCAAGCGTGTTTCTTCCATCTGTCAGGGACTTAGGAGACCTTCACCTAATGGTACCTTTTGTACTTGGTCTTGATGGGTGAGTAGGAGTTTGCCATCTAGAAATTTAAAAAAGGAAAGGGAGGATATGCCTCAGTCACCAATACACTGGGTAGTGCCCTGAAATAATACAACAAAGTCTGCCTTTTGCTTATTATTGTTTAAATATTTATTTAATTACATTTGTTATTATTTTTAATTTGATGAGAGAGAGAGAACAGAAAAGCGAGAAAGCAAGATGCCAGGTCCAGGACTCAAACTATAGTCAGTCATGTGGGAATCCAGCGCCTCCAACCACCATGCCACCTGCCAGCCTCCATTTACTATTATTATTTTTTGACATTTATTTATCGATTTATTTGTTGTAATTTTCAGGCCACTGAGTTTGGGACTTGAGCCTCAGTCAGCCATGTGGGATGGGAGTCCAGTGCCTCAATCCCCAAAGCACTTGCCTGCCCTTTGGCTTTTGTTTAAATCATATACTTATCACCATAGGTAAAACCACACCAGCCAATTCATCTTTAACTCAGAAATCATTTTAATTTCAATGAGGAGAGATAGGGAGAACACCTTCATTTTGCTATGAAGTCTTAACTGCTTCAGTATTAGCAGTAGTTAATGTCTTGCCACAGTTTTTATGTTGGTTAATTGGAATAAAGCGAAAATATAAAAGCTAACAGGAGCATCTGTAAAGCCCTACGATATATATGTGAGCCTTAATTCATTCCAAGTTCAATATGCGCCAGGACCCTGAAACAACTGTTGGAATTGTTCATTAGGCTGCATTAATGGAATTATGTGACCTTACTGAGGGCAGGCATTTAAGTGCCTGGCACATGCTGGTCACTTAGCAAATATTTGAGGAGAGATCTTGGAGGTAATTGCCCCAGGGCTCTGCCCTGCCCTAGTCAAATCACACAGAATGGCTGCTTGAGTGTTTCCAGAGAAAAACTGGGACGCCTCAGGGAAGATTGGGCAGGATGACGGGAGACAGTTTCTAGAAACGGTGGAGAAACTATTGGAGAAAGGAAGGCTTTTAGGTTGGATAATGTATTGGGTGGATAAGAGTGGGACGGAGAGTGTGTACAAATATCTGAAAGGTAAAATAAAATAAATAAAAATAAATCTATGGCCTTTTAGCTTGTGTTGCTCTGGGAGAGCAGATACTAGGTTTACGAAGAACACTTCCATTTGTGATTATAGTTGTGTGGAAATGCAATATAGAACATGCCTTGTCTTCATAATAAACTCCTGGCCACTAGAAGTGCTTAAGAAAAGGCTGGATATGAGTAGAGCAATTTTTGCATTATTTTATTTTATTTTATTTTTAGAGATTTTTGCTGTGGGGCTCTTGTGCTTGCTAGACAAAGAGAGAAGAGTCAGAAAGTGAGAAATCCCCCCCCCCACCCCCCGGGAGGATGGCCACACTGCAATCCCTTCTCTTTCATTCTCCTTTTGGGATTTTGGGCACACACGTACATGTGCCTGGTGTGAGTTTTAAGTTGCCTGATCTGGGACTAGAACCACAGTCTACTACTTGAGAGTCCAGCTGGTCCCGCAATTCTTGCATTTTAAGAGCTAGGATCTCTGTGTGCACACATGTGAAATAGCTCCAGGAGGACTCCTTTTAAAGACCCCAATCAGTGTGGTTACGTAAGTATATGTTGAACAAAACTTGGGGGAATGGACTCTTAAAATGGAAGTCTTTGGTTTTATATACATCACACCACAATG